CACTCAAGAGCACCTGCCAACTACCAACAAGTAGCATCAAAACCGGGAAAACGGAGAAAAGTTCGTTTTAGTAGAGGTTTTACGGCGCTCGTAACAGTAAGGTCATATGAGCGCCAGAAGATTAGAGGTGTTACAAGAGTAGATAGTAACAAACATAAAAAAAAGAAGGAGAGGAGATAAGGACGATAGATGTTTGATAGTAGAAAAGAAGAAGCAAACCACACCAGAGCACTCGCCAACCACCCACAAACCCAGAAAAATTAATGGGATTTCCACAAGATAGTGCTGGACACCAAGTGACATCATAACTAAACTGTGCCAATGACGCAGCCCATAACAAGGTCAACTGAGTGAAACAACGCAAGACAGACTTATAGTAGTGCGGTCAAAAATTCGTTGCGCAACTTATCCTCAAATACCTCTTTAACGGGTGAATCAACGTTACCCATACTTTGCACGGCAGTTTGCATCAATTTGTCTAAACTTAATCATATTTTTCCATAACAATTGAGGCTAGATTTAAAAACTGTTCTTCATAAAGTTATATATCACACTATAAAACTCCGTCGTGCGGAAAATATGATTGTTCACAGCACTTCCTGCTTCTCACACACATTTTGTATACGTATATGGCCTACGTCAATGACACTTTTTAGTGGCAAAACTAAATTTTATAGTGAACACTTTTTGCACTAAAGATTCTCAAAACGTGCATTCAATATAAGTATAATGTCGCGATTAGAAAAAAAATGACAGACTTGTTTTTAAAAAGCGATATTCCCCTATTCCCCTAGGTGTAAACCTTTTAAAATCTGTAAAAAAAAAAACCCCAACAACAACAAAACACCCACTTGGGTTTTTTTAAATAAGCAATTTATTAAGGAATTTTCTAAAATACAGCTAAAAGGTATTTACAAAAATATTGATCTGTTAAGACAAATTGATATAGATCAGTGTACAAAACTTGGGCAGCCTAAGTTCCATAGTTGAGGAGATATTTGGCAATAAGTCGTGCCACGAGTTTTTTACCGTGCAAAACGTCTCTTTTTCAAGTGACTTTTTTTCTAAGAGAGAATTATGAGTGACTGGGGAAGAATAGCGTTTAACAGCTTATATTGAATCAGACGATTGTACTATTCTTATTTTATTCTTATACCATTTTAATTGTCTTATTCTGCCTAAGATATCTATACATACTATATTTGTGAAAGTTCATCACTTTGGCCGCCTAAAACTTCCAAACCACTTAACTTTCGAATTTGACAAAATTAAAGGTGGTTCAGAACCATTTAAAGGGTGCACAGTTTTATTGAGGAGCTTGAAGTCCCTGTAGTTTAATTTTCAATTTTTCATTAGTTTCATTTAGATCTTAATCTTGGGAAAGTCCGTATTCTAAGCCGTTCACTAGCCAAGCGCACTGTAATTTTGGAGTGTACAACCACGAAAGCGGAATAGAGAATCAATCTATACATCTCTATATCTAGACTTTCTAATTTTTTGCACCTATCAAAATCTATTGCTCCATTCCATTAGAGTGTAATTAATATAGTAGGCCAATGACTTTCAGCTGATGTTAATGAACAGAGGGCGGAACGGGGAGAGGGAGAGACAGAGGGAGGGAGGGACGGAGAAAGAGAGGGGGATGAAGGGAATGGAGAGAGAGAGAGAGAAAGAGAGAGAGGGGGGAGAGAGGGAGAGATAGAGGGAGGAAAGGAAGGAATGGGAGAGATAAATGTAAAGATAAAAAGAGGGAAAAGTGTGTGTGTGTGTGAGAGAGAGAGACAGAGGGGGAGAGAGAGAGAGAGAGAGAGAGAGAGAGAGAGAGAGAGAGAGAGAGAGAGAAAGCAGAAAGAAAAAGAGAATCAGATAGTAAGAGAGATACAAGAAGGGAGTAGCCACAGTAAACAGAAGCTATCGAAGTCCACACGTTTACCCTCCTAAGTGACATCAGAACCTAAACTGTGTCAATGACGCAGCCCATGACTAAGTCTACTGAGTGAAACAACGCAAGACAGACTTGTTATTACTCTAGGAGAGAATTGTGGGTTAATGACGTAGAATAGCGTACCTGATTCGGACAACTGTGCTATTTCTATCCACCATTTTAATTGTTCAGCCTATGATACTTGAATCTCCGGTGATGTCTTCCTTTTGCTCAACAACACACACACAGAGAAAGTAAGAGAGGGAGAGAGGGAGAGAGGGGGAGAGAGAGAGAGAGAGA